GCTGGACTGCACTCTACTCTCACCTGGGTGCAACAGAATTTTTCTACCGACCTTGTAAATTGTCTTGGGTTGGAAAATTGTTTCACCCTGTCCTTTTGTGTGCTATTGTGCTCCAGAATTCATTTTGAGGCACTATTTACAGCTGTTTAGAGGAGAATTTGGAAAAACTCAGAGGATTCCCTGCCTTTTCTCTGCCATTTTGGCTCACCTCCATAAGCAGCAGGCTTTCACAATAGATACTCAATAAGGGACCACATCTTTACCATCTGACAATTAAAATGTAAAGAATATAAGGTCACACTGTGTTTATTGTCTGTTGATTACACCCCCCCAAAAAAAAGAATTACTCAAGATTCCTTGGAAGATATAAGGAAAGAAAATAAAGAAAGAAATCATCTTTGTTAACAACTTTCTGATAACAACCACCAGGGAAGCCATTAAAATAAGAAGAAGGATGTATAGTCACCAAAACTCTTTATGCTGTAGTAGAGGAGATCCAGCATAAAGTTCAGGCCAGGAATTTCCTGTGGATTGTAAGATGCTCTATGTGCTAGCTCCTATTTGTGAATTATATTCTGCTGATGATATTAAGAATTAACCATTTTGAAGCCTTTTGGAAGTCTGTAATAATTTAAAGGAGTTTACCCTAACCATATACACCAAACAAACAAAAAAACAAAAACAAGTGAATGAAGAATGTCAATAAATGAGTATGTGGGTGGACAACCATACCAAGCTTCTCCATCAGTATACATATCTAAGACAGATAATACATCTGGATAATGAGGAAGATTAGAGTTTAAATGGAAGAGAAGGATGGATTGGATTACCTTGGGGAAACTGCAAAACTTTATTATCTCCAAGTTTGTCATAAAGCTAAAGCTTATATTTTTTTAAAGCAACATTCACTGATGTTCCTATGAGGTAGTGAAACATGGAATATGATTTTCTCTAAAGAATAAAAAGTTTATATTGCACAAAGAACATGGAGAAGTGGGTGTGAAAAGGTCCCAGTATTATTTTGAGAGTTGGAAAGGTCCTCAGCAACAAAATACCTGACAAATGGTCATCTAGCCCAGAGGTGTAAAACTCGAGGCCCACAAAACTCCTTAGGATGGTCTGAACTAGATTAAAATGTAACTGTGAAATGTTTAACAAAATAAATAAAAATAAAACATAGTTAATGTTAATTTGTGATCTTTATATTTAAATTTGTTAGTGGTGATCTAGCCTATGCTCCAAGACTTCCAGGGAGGGAGAACCCACCACCTCTCAATTTTAATCAATAAACATTTATTAAGCACCCATTATGTGCCAGGCATTGTGCTAAGCACTGGGGCTACAAAAAAGAGGCAAAAGACAGTCCTCTGACCACAAAGAGCTCATAATCTAATGGGGGAGACAACAACAACAAAATATACACAAACAAGCTATATACAAGATGAATAGGGAGTAATAAAGAAGGGGGAAGCACTAGAATTAAAAGGGGTTGAGAAAAACGTCCAGTAGGAAAGGAGATTTTAGTTGGGACTTGAAGGAAACCATAGAGGTCAGTTGGAGGAAGGAAGGACGGAGAAAGGAAGAGCATTACAAGTATGTGTGACAGCCAGAGAGAATGCCCACAGCCCCTAGATTAAGTATCCTGTGTATGGAACAGCCAGAGTTACTAGACCCAAAAGTACGTGGCAGGGCACAACTATAAGAAGACTGGAAAGGTAAGGAGGCGCTAAGTTATAAAGCACTCTGAACACGGAACAGAAGATTTTGTACTTGATCCTGGAGGCAACATGGAGCCATTGAAGTTTATTGAATAAAGGAGGTGAAATAGTGGAACCTGAGCTTTAGGAAAATCATTTTAATGGCTGAATGGACCATAGGTTGGAGTGGGAAGACTTTAGGTAGGCAGATCCACTAGGAAGCTACTGAAGGTAGCATGAGGTAACGTGGGCCTGCACCAGGGTAGTGGCAGTCAATATCAGAGGAGAGAAAAGGAGCATATTTGAGAGATGTTGTTGATGTCGTTCTTTAGTCAGTCTTCAGTTGTATCCAATTCTTTATGACTCCATATTTGAGGGATGATGTTGTTGTTAAATTGTTTTTCAGTCCTGTCCAACTCTTCATAACCCCATTTGGGGTTTTCTTGGCAAAGGTACTGGAGTGCTTTGCCATTTCCTCCTTCAGCTCATTTTACAGATGAGGAAACTGAAGCAAACAGGGTTAAATAACTTGCCCAGGGTCACACAGCTAGGAAGTGTCTGAGGCCTGAAGAGGAATCTTCCTGACTCCAGGTCCCGCACTCTGTGCACTATGGCGCCACCTAGCTGCCTCTGACTTGAGAGATGGTGCAAGGCGAAATTAACAGGCTTTTGGCAACTGATGGAGAAAAGCTGTTTTTTCTCTTTATTTCTTAAATTAAATTTATCATTTCTTAGACGATTTTTTTCTTTTATTTTTTAATATTTGTAACAAGGGATGGCTCTCCTGAGAAGGATATATGGGGGGGAGGGGGACAAGAGATAGTAAGGTGCCCAAGATGACTCCTATGTTGCCAGCCTGAGGATGGAGTTGCTCTCTACAGTAACAGGAAAGGTAGGAGGGGAGGAAGGTTTACAGGAAAAGATAACAAATTCTGTTTTGGTGATGTTGGGTTAAGATGTTCACTAGACATTGTCAAGATTCTATGAGGAGACACCCTGTTTTCCAGAGCTAAGGCCCAGCAAGCAACCTGTGCTCTGAGCCTGGCATAACAACAATCCTCTGTGTTCACCCTCTGGAAGAACACTGCTGCAACTAAACCACAGAACTGATGGCTCCTGTGCTCAGGTGAGCACCAGGGCATGAAGCCCTGCTATGACTGGACTTTTTGTCACTAGACAACCTTGCCTCACTGTTGCTGTTACGCCTACTTACTGTTGCTACATTGCACTGTTCGATTTTTTTGTCTGGCCACAAATATAGAAATCTAGGTTTAGCCCCAGCACATGTGTCTCTCTTCCCTCCCTGCTTGCATGCCATTTCCCCACTAGAGAAAATAAACTCGGTCTGCTCAGTCTGTTCAGCTCTGGCCTCTGAAGACCAAGAGGTTTGAGATGTCCAAGTGTCCAAAAGACACTTGAAGATATGAGATTGGAGGTCAGTAGAGAGGTTGGGGCAGGATGTAAATTTGTGAAGAAGTTTTTCCTGAGACAAAGTGTAAATGTGTCCTTTTGTAACTTCCACCCCCTGCTGCTGGTTCTCACCTCTTGGGAAAAAAGGAACAAATTTAATCCCTCTTTCACATGACAGCCCTTCAAATAACTGAACACAGCTATCATGTGTTCATGTTAAAATACCTAAATATGGCTATCATATTTTTTTTACAAGCCTTCACCAAATGCATTACATTCCTGTCCATCATACCTAAATTTTAAGCATTGGTCCTGAAACCCAAATTTTGCTTATTGTTCAGTTGTATCTGACTGTCACCCCATTTGGGGTTTTCTTGGCAAAGATACTGGAGTGGTTTGTCATTTCCTTCTCCAGCTCATTTTTACAGCTGAGGCACTGTGGCTATTCATTTCTTCTATCAATCTTTTTCTTCTAAAAGTCCTACCTTTAATTGTCATCACTGATGACATACCTGTTCTTCTACGGTCTATAGTTTTTGCCCAAGTCTTCATGACCCCACCAATGGTTCCTAGATTTTTTTGTAGCAGCATCAGTCATCCCAGCACAAATTAACAAGTGGTTTTCTACAGTCTTCAGTCTGTCCTAGTACTCAATCCAAGCATGGATTAAACATATAAATCACTCCCCTACACAAACACTAAACTCTACCCTAACTAGATTACTCATTCCCTAAACACACTATGCACTTTCTTATTTCTGAGCTTTCCCCAGTCTACAACATGATCTCTCCTACTAAAATCTTTTCCATTATCTAGCTTGGTTGAAATTTCCTCTAAAGTTTTCTTGATCACCCCAGCCACAAGTGAGCTCATCTTTCTCTTTAAATTTTTTGTAACACTTTCATGGCAAACTTATACACTCTCTCTTGGTTTATAGGTACACTTTATTAGATAACCTCACTAGATTGCAGGCTCCCTTAGGGCAGAACCAAGGTAAAGCCAGTTTTGTATCTTAACACAGTCAGTACCTTACAGAGAGCAGATCTGCAATAAATAGTTGCTGGCAGGTTGGATAAATGAACTGTTGCCTTTCCAAACGGAAAGTAAACTCCATGGGGCTAACGAATAATAGTTAACAGAGCCACCAAAAGCCACTCACCCTCACCCCATTCTTGCACAGATACACAACAGGCACTAAAAAATTTGGTGACAAGCTATATTCAGATGCTTAGAGAAACATGAAAAAATGAAAGGAAATGAAATTTAAGATAAGCAGGCAATAATCCTAAGGGGCCTTTGGTCTCCAAGGATAAGTGTCATGAGCTTATGGACACCATTTTTTTTTTCAACTCACTTCCTATTAATGCTGACTACTTGTGGACTAGACTCCACTTGCCTTCAACTAGATCTACCCTTTATCACACCACCCTTGGTCCTTCGGATTGGAGGGTGGAGCCCAGGACCTAACCTTTCATCTCTCATCTGGCTGCAACGCCTCGGGGACTTCTCTCAGACACTCATCCCCAACCCCCAATACACACACACTTTTCGACTTCCTTTGATGGGTTGTCTTCCCCTGTTAGACTGTAAGCTCCTTGAGGACAGGTTAGAGAATAACTGGATAGAGAAGATAGCTAGCTAGCTAGCTAGCTAGATAGATAGATAGATAGATGGATGGATGGACGATAGACAGTAAAGATACATGTGTGTATACACACATGTGTAAACGTATAGAGGTCTGCAGAGAGATCAGATCTCTCTACATATAAACATCAGTGTATATATGCATGCACCGCGGTGCCCAGCGGTACTCAGTGATTTTGACCACAGCCCTTCCGCTCTTCCACCTCCGCGCACGTCATCGGGCTCCCCCCCCTCCTCGGGAGGGGTTACCTTGGGCCAGTGCCAGGAGGCAGTAGTGCAACAGGAAGCCCTTGGGGTTGTTCCAGTGCTGCAGACAGTCCTGTGTGAAGTTTCCCCAACCGCACAAGCCCTCCTCCAGCTCCGGGGGCTGCGCCTGTGCCCGCTGCTTGGGGGCGGGCGGCGGCGGCGGCGCCCCCTGTTCCTCCGGGGAGCTGGGTTGGGAGGCCGACCTGGAGACCTCCTCCTCGGCAGGAGGCTCCGGCAAATGACGCTGGAGGCCGGGGCTGGATGGGACGAAAGCCGGGTTGTCGATGCCTCCGGCTGCTTCCATGGCGGGACGCGCCCCAAGTCGCCTAAAGTAGCCTCCCGGTGCGGGGAAGAAGCTGCGCTCGGTCCCCCGGCTGCGCTCCGGCCCCGGCCCGGAGGCGAGGCCGTAACGCGGCCGCTACCCAACCGCGCAGCCCCTGCCTGTAGCCGGTCGGCCCGCGGCCCCTAGCCCCCAGCCCCGAGGCGGGGCGAGGCGGGCGCTGCCCACGCGAGGCCGCGTGGCCCCTTGTGGACGACTCTACCGGGGTGGGGGTGGGGGCGCTGCTGCGCTTGCGGGAATTACAGTCGTGGGATTTATTTTTAAAATTTACTTGTTCATGAGGCTTTCTCGAGTTCTCAGGCCACCCGAAATAGCTGAAGGATCCCCACGAAAGCATGACCCCACAGGCAGGCAGTTACTTCAACCCAGACAACAGCACACTCCACTTTGAACGTGCTCTTTAAAAACAATGGGCTAAAAGAAAGTCCGCGCACAGTAAATGCGGCTCTTTGCCTTTACCACATAAGCTTCTCACACCCAGAAAACCCACGCGCAAACCAGCGGCTTAAGGCGCCGCCTTTTCCACACACGAGCCGCCCACGCCACTCCCTGCCCTCTCGAAATAGGGCCTCCCATCGTAAGGAGAAAACGGGCCAGTCACTGTGGCGGGAGCTTCTCCCCCATCTCCTACTTGTAAATCCCTCAGGATCGCCCTCACTGCTTCTTTAGAACCGGTTCTGTCTCCTCCGTCCATTCCCCCAACCACCCAATCATTCCTCTCTCTCTGATTTTCTAGCTGTCCTTGTATACTTTCTCATTCCCAGTTGCCTACAAATTCACAGAAGTCTTGTCTCCGAAACCAAAACCAAAACCCTTCACCCTCAAGTTACTGCCCTATATTACTCCTAGAAAAAGCTGTCGATTCGGTCTTTTCACGTTTTAGCCCCTTGCACTCTGACTTCCTGTTTCATCACTCAACTGAAACCCCTTTCTCTAAGTTTACCAATGATTATTCTTCATCCTTAGACCTCTATGCAACATTTGATTGTGACCACCTTCCTCCTTTCCCCAATATTTGTTACTTTTTGCGTTTTGATGGCCCTCTTCTCTGTATGGTCTCTCATTAGTCTCTTTTGCTGAAGTATCACCCATGTCTCACCGGTTTTGTGTGGTAGTACCCCAGCACTCTATCCTTCTGTCCTTTCCCTCTCTACTTTCTTTCTGTGATCTTATCAGTTCCAATGGTTCAACTAGTATGTCTAAGTGGATGACTTCCAGATCTGTGGATATTCAGCTCAAGTTTTTCTCCTGGCTTCCAGTCCCCTCACCACCAAAAGCCTATTGGACATTTCCTACTGCTTACCTATAGGCATCTCAAATTCAACATGTCCAAAACAGAACTTAATCTTTGCTACATGCCACTATCTTACAACCATCTTTTCTTTCTAACTTCCTTTCTGAGGGGCCTAAGGGCACCACCCTCCTTCTATTCAACCAGGTTCATAAACTTGGAGTCAGCCTCAGCTCCTACTATGGCAATCCCCATATCCAGTCATTTTTCAAAGTATCCTGTATCTTTCTCCTGTCAATTCACAGGACCAATATCCCAGTTCTGGCCCTCAACACCTCTCACTTGGATTATTGCAGTAGCCTACCTGTTCCCAGTCTCTCTCCTCTAATATAATCCTCCACACAGCTGACAAGTTGATATTCCTAAAGCACAAATCTAAAGTTCCAGCAACTTCTGCATGCTTCTACTATAAAATGCAAAATTTCTCTGAGTTTTAAATCTCTTTACAATGTGGTTACAGGACTCAGAGTAAGTTTTAACCTCTCGGGCTAAGTTTCTTCATTTATAAAACTGGAATAATAATAATAGCTCCTATTTTACAGAGTTGCATGGATCAAATGAGATAACATGCAGAGTGCTTTGCAAATCTTAAAGTGCTATCTGTTATTATGTGATTACAAAGCCAATGTAAGTGATATTTGAAAGAGCATTGAAAATAAAGTACTGCATGATGGGCAAAATGAAACTTTTGTTTCAGTTTTCAAGAAAGGAAGAACAAAGTATGAAAATGACAGCCAGGGATTTTGACTTCAGTTCCTGAGAAAACAGTATAAATGACAACATTGGTGAATATCTAGAAAGGGTTATCAAAAATTAACTTAAACCTCGTATCCTTTTCTGGCAAAATTACTAAACTTGTAAATGAGGGTAATGATGTGGATATGTTACCTAGATTTTAGTACAACTTTTGATAAAATATCTGATACTGTTTTTGTTAATAAGATACAGAGATATGGATCAAGACAATGATACAATTAGATGGATTCAACATGGGTTAGATGTCTTTAATAACTAAAAACTAATTATTAGTGGTTCAGTGTCAGTATAGCAGGAGATTTCAATATTTGTGTGTTTGTGTATATGTGTATGTCGTGGACCCTTTTGGCAGTCTGATGAAGCCTATGGGCCCCTTCTCAGAATAATGTTTTTAGATGCATAAAATAAAATATGTAGGATTACAAAGGAAAATGATTTTGTTGAAATACAGTTATTAAAATATTTTTAAAAACAAGCTTTTGGAACCCAAGTTGAGAACCCTTGGTTAGCATTGGGCTAATCTAACAAGATGAAATTCGAAAGGGATAAATATAAGGTTTTGCACTGGGGTACAAAAATATAAAATGTGAGGGCATGGTAAAATATTAGTTATTTGAAAAAGATGGGAATTTTAGTGGCCTACAACATCAATGTGGATCAGCACTGTGATTGTAACCAAATACACTAATAAGATCTTGGGCTGCATTAAAATCTTGGGAGTTAGAAATAGGGAGGTAATAGTTCCTCTATATTGTGCCCTTGTCAGACCTTATCTGTATTGTTTGATTCAGTTCTGGGTACCACAGCTCAAGAAGAACATAAGCTAGAGACTGTCCATAGTGAGGTAATCAGAATAGTAAAATGCTTTAAATTTATCTATTTTGAGAATCAGTTAAAGGAAGTGGGCATGATTAGCCTGGAGAAGACTCAAAGTAGGGTTTAGAGGGTAGGACCTGGCAATTTGTCTTCTAATATTTGAAGAGCTTTCATGTGGAGGAGGTCCTAGACTTTTTTTCCATTTGCTCCTAGAAAACAGAATAAGAAGCAAAATCTAGAAGTTATGTAGAGGCAAATTTTGGCTCAATGTCAGAAAAAACCTCCTAACAATTTGAGCTGTCCAAAAGTGGAATGGACTGTTTGGAAATATGTTAAGTTCCCCTCTCCTTGAAGGTCTTCAAGAAGAACTTATATGACCACTTGTCAGGTATATTGTAGTGGAGATTCCTTTTGTGTATGAGTTGGACTAGATAGTCATTGAGGCCCTTCTAAACCTGGCACAACATAGGCAATAAATCTTGTGAAATGAATGAATATCAATACTAAATCTATGAAATGGTTCATCATGGCATTCAAAAGTCAAATTTGACTGCCATTACAAAGCCAACATTCAGGAGTAAGTCCTCAAAAGAAGTTTAAAATGGAAAATGATAAGTATAAATGTAAGCTTTACAAGACAAATTTTTAGCATACGTATCAGTGGCTAAAAATAACAAAAATCAATGAGCAAGATTTGAGTTTTTCATGTGCTCAGTACTGTGCTAAGAGCTGGAGACAAAAAGACAAGAATGAAACAGTACCTGCCCCCTTAAGGACCTTACCTTCTAGCAAAGGCCTGGCCCTTTTATAGCCATTAGAATGTTGGAGATGAAAAATTCTGCATTAGTTTTGACAGTTGATCAGGAAAATCCCTATATCAAAACTCAGTGTCATAAAATGAGATCAGTAAGTAAGTGAATGAGATCTAGGGTATAATCCCTCTTTACCCAAACAATTAAAAAATCAACCATTCAGTTAAACTTATGTACTCACTTCAAGCAAAGCACCACCTTACACGTTACCTATTTTATAGGGTTGTTATGAGGCTCAAATACCCCATATGTTGAAAATTTTAAAGTATTATGTAGATGTTAACTATTATTATCTCATTTTTTCTTTTGAATACTTGTATAGTCATTTCCCTTTAGAGAAAGATGTTAGCTATGAAACTATAAATAAAAAGAACAAACATGAGTGAATGAAGTCTTTGCTTTCTGAATCATCCCAATTGGCCTGCCTCCTCAGACTTTTGTTTCCCTTTGGTGCCCTTAGCAAGATTTGTGAAAATTCAAGCTGCTCCCTGGCAAGAAAAAAAACATCTTTTTTTATCACAGATTTTCTCCCCATAATGCTGCATGATTGAAAATCTTGAAGCACCATGGTCTCCAAAGAATCAGAGTTGCTGGTGGTTCAAGAGACAGTTTTATAAGGTGAACTCAAGCAGGCTGCCACACATTTCCAATAATGATTGATGCTCAAGAAGTGGGTCAAAGGACATCATTGAGGAGATGAATGATCAGAAAAAGATGTGGTACAATCACACAGTGATGTTGAGGGAACTGGCTGCCCAAGTACTCATGAAATATAAAAAGATCTAGAAAAGGGGTTCTTAACCTTAGATTTCATGGGGTCCATCAGTTTGGATGGGAAAAAATTTTATTTTGACTAATGTTTATTTTCCTTTATAATTCATATTATTTTATGCACTTAAAAACATTATTCTGAGAAAAGGTACATAGGTTTTACCCAGACTATTGGAGAAGTCCATGGCTCAAAAAAAAGGATTCATAATGAAATATGCTATCTATCTCCTTAATGAGCAGTGATGGATTCAGAGTGAAGATTGAGAATTTTTTTTTCCTTTGGACGTAGCCAATATAGTAATTTGTTTTGTTTGATTGCATGTGTTGTTAGCAGGTATTTTGGGGTTTTTTTCCTTGCTTTCTTAATGAAGGAAGGGAAAGGATGAACAAATGAAGATGTGAAAATAAAAAAGAAAAACATGAAACCTGAACCAGAAGAAGGCCTCTGACATGTTGAGTAGATTCTTTGTGGAGAATCTTTGGGAGAACATGGACAAGAATAAAGCAAGATGAGAAAGCATGATCTGCAAAATCTACATTGTTAGAGGGAATACTCATGTCAGTGAGGTCACAGATGTATTCATATCTCTACTTTGAAATTCCCTTCCCCTTTCTTCTCATCGAGTCATTGCTTTGGCAGCATGTGATGAGCTGTTTCTTTAAGGGGTAGAGGTACCATTTTGGCTTTGTAGA